CCCTGTTCTAACGCACATACAGAGTTATCCTATATAGCAAAAGAATTATTATTTTTCTTCCCTGGGAAAAATAAGATTTTCTTTCTCTGGACACCCCCCCTTACAGCATACATAAAACATTAATTAGCAGGACCAAGGCAAACCAAACAAAGCAACTAAAACAAAAGCAAAATATCTACGGTAAACTGTTTTGGCCTTGATAGTTATCTACCAGGAATGCTTAAGTCCAATTTAAAAGCAAACACCCCTATTCATGACTTAGCATTTGACAAGAATAAACATCCACATAGAGAATTACGAACAGTAACCAAAAGAAAAAAAAAGTCTATGGTAAACTGCCCAAATATTTAAAATACTCACTGTTTTTTTTTTAAAGCAAGAGATGAAGAAAGAATCACATTGATTTAAAATATCAACTTTTGAAATAATCCAAAATGCCCAGCAGGTTTAGAGAGATCCATTCTTGATTTAAACTCAACCTCGGCAATTTGAAGATGGGTGGACTTCCAACACTGAATGCACCAGTCAAGATGATTTGCCTAATCACTAAATTAACTCAATGTATTCATATAATGCATTGTATCATAAACTAACCAAATGGGGTTGGGTCCATATAACAAGTTATATTATCAAAACACCAACCCCAGCCTCCTCAAAAAACACCTTAACCAAAGTTAACAATAACCAAGCTTAACATATTCTGCAAATGCATATGAATTGTCTCAATGTCTCCCAACATGGTCAACTTCCAGAAGTGCAGGCTTCAATCCCAGAATTCTGGGATAGAATTAGCTGAGGAATTCTGGGAGTTGAAGTCCACACATACAGAAGTCAGCTAGGTGGGGAAAACCTGTTTTAGGTCTTCATTTGATCTGATTAAACATGCTGCAACTTTACCATCAGCTTAAATCTCAAGTACTTGGAGATTCTTTATAAATAGTGGGTCAACCACTAGGATTATTTGCTTTAAAATTAAATACACACCCGCGCCTCAGCCACAGAAATAGCAAATGTCAACAGACAATTGGCAACATCCTCAGGTTTTTATAGTTTCAGAAACTGAGAGAGGGTATTATTTCCAAATACATGTTATTTATTTAGTGAGAAATTCATTTTGGTTTCTCCTTTTTGAGATTAAATGAAGCTGTAGGTCACTTGATCACAAGTTATGGAGAATTTCTTTGACTTCGTTTTCATTCCATTTTTTCACTTTGTGGCTCCTCATGTCAAAAGATGGATTTTACTGGAGGAATATACAGTAGGATTTAAAAAAATCACTCAGGGCAGATGGGTAGTGTAGAAATTATGTATGTATGTATGTATGTATGTATGTATGTATATTTAAAAAAACTGCTTTTGAGCATGTGGCATCAGGAAAAGATACCCTTCTTTTAAGGAGCTACAGAAAGAACTATATTCATATTTTCATGCATTTGAAGCACTTTTCTAAATTATCTCAGAAATATTTCCACAGTCCAAGAAAAGGTAGCTTTAGGTAGTATCTAGTTGAATTGGTGCACTGAAGGAGGGATATAAATGTAATAAATAAACTATGTATGGAAAGATACACTAGATATTTTTACTATGACCTGGAAGGAAATGTACAAATTGCAAATATGAGGAATTAAAATACCTATTTCAAGCTACAATGCTTGTGTTCACACAACACAGTCCCAGATCAGTAATAAAACTAGCACCTGTACTTGTCTATGGAGATTCTCAATCACCCAGGTCACGGTTGTCCCAAACGTGCTTTTTCCAAATGGCAACTGGACTTAATAATAATAATAATAATAATAATAATAATAATAATAATAATAATAATAATAATAATAATAAAGTTGGAAGGGACCTTGGAGGTCATCTAGTCCAACCCCCTGCTCAGGCAGGAAACCTTAGTCTTTTTTTCCTTTGGTCTTTTTTTTCCTTTGAAAACATTTCACTTCTCATCCAAGAAGCTTCTTCACTTCAGTTCAGAACTGAAGAAATCTCTTGGATGAAAAAGTGAAATATTTCAAAGGAAAAACAAAAAAACACAAAAAAGTCCAGTTGCCTTTTGGAAAAAGCACATTTGGGACAACAACTACACTTGTGTGACATAATCAACTTAGGTATTTTGTAGCTCAGTTTATTATATTTAACTTGCTTACGGTCTCATGCATTATGCAAACCTAGAAAATGGTCTAATTCAAAAACTAGGTTGTATGAATGCTGCAACAGGGTTCTATGACTTGGTCAAGACCAGCCAACTAGCTTTACGGATTTGAAGATTGCAACAAATGCCCAAAATAGCACATTTCTGAAAAATCACTTGCCCCAGAGTCTAGGTGCTCAGTGAATCTTTTATGTTTACCTTCTTCATAGCATCTCTGCCAATTTCAGGCTTATTCATAGATTCCTGGTAAAAACCATGGAACAACTCGTAAAGTCTCCCTTAGAGTGGAGCTTGAAATGAACATATGAACATATTCAGAAAGTTTTCTTGGCAACACTACAGAAACGATTTGCTTTTGACTTCTTCCAGGATATTTTTTTTTTCAATTTCTCAATCTATTCTACATATTGATCTAGTCCAGGGCTTTTCAACCTTTTCACCCATTGTACCACTTTTAGGCTATGGCAACATCCGAGTACCACCAGTCGCCCTAGCAAGGTGTCAAAAACCTGATGACCCCCCCACCCAAAAAGGAAAAAAGTGATAAAGTACAGGTAGTCCTCAATTTACAACAGTTCTCTTAGCGACTGTTCGAAGTTACAATGGCACTGAAAAAAGTGCCCCCCAAGCCACAGCCGAGCAAGACACCTGCCTGCCCGCCCGCCCGCGCTCTTCCTCCTGTCCGAGGTTTTCATTGTTGTGAGCATTTCTGTTGAGGATTGGCAGTGGGGGTGGGGTGGGGGGATGTTTGGTTTTTATTCCCCCCCCCCCGTCTGCTGGGTGGTTGCAGCAGGTTTTGGTCACTTCACATGACCCTGGGACACTGTGACCGTCATAAATATGAATCAGTTGCCAAGCATCTGAATGTAAATCACAAGACTCTGGAGATGCTGCAACATTCCAGCTGATCGGCGCTTCTTCGGGGCTCAGCAGAAGCACCAGGATCAGCACCGAGCTCCAGCTGGAGCCTGGCACTGATCCTGGCGCTTCCACTGAGCCCTGTCAGCCCCGAAGAAGCGCCGATCAGCTGGAAAGCGGCACTGATCCTGGCGCTTCCGCTGAGCCCTAACAGCCCTGCAGCTGCAGCCATCTCTCGCTCAGGCTTGTGCGTTGCTGCCACCGGTTCATCTCATTCCCCTCCCCCGCTACCACTTTTGTAGGATGGTTGCATACCACCTGCCAGGTGCCAATGTACCACAGGTGGTACCCGTACCACTGGTTGAAAAGCCCTGATCTAGTCTACAGATTGATTTACAGTTTCCTTTGCAGATGTTCTTAACAATGTCACATCCAGGTAGGTCTCAGCCTGGTCAGCTTTTGAAGATCAGTCAAAGCTTATCTGTTGGCTTAATCAATGTGCCCAGCCTAAAGGTTGGTCACACACACACATACACACAAATCTATGATGGTGGGGGTAGAAGGAATTTTGCATGGAGATGGATTTTTTTCTTAAACTTTCCAAAGAAAGTGCTCTTATTTTTTGAGCTTAAGCCTAAGAACGCTTATTCACTTATTCACACAGCAAAAATCAAATTACATAGGCTGAGCTTAAGTTGTCTCATTGGCCTCCGTGCAAAGAGCGTTTGAGGTCCCCAGGCAACAAGCTCATTTTGTACACAAACACAACCTCCTCCGGTCTTTGGCCATATTGGGGTGGTGAAAATGCCCCCCCCCCCCAGATTTGCTTCTCTTAAGGCTCAAAGGGACCCAACAGAACACAACTGCGTTGATAGTTCCACAGAGCTTGGGAGACTATTCTGCAAGATTTGAGTGTGAAAACCAAGGGGGGAAAAAAGGGAAGGGGTTAATTTGACATAACTTCTCTGGATAGCAAAGCAAACTCCCCCCCCCAAGAAGAGATTGGGGGGTAAGAAAAGGCAACCGGTATGTAATTCCTGAGAAAAACCAGAAGCAAAGCTGTACACCACCCAGTTCCTTCTCTCCCAACCATCTCCTAAATCCAGAAAATGCAAACTCAACACCCACAAATATACCCTTTAAAATGTAGGGCCCAATCACTGAATGGGGGCTGGGGAGGGGGTCACAAAAGGACATTGGCCAGCCAGCTGCAATCTCAGGGCTACGGGTTTTTTTATTTTGCACTTCTGGTCAAGGGCATCAGGTGGAAACATCTTAGGAGGCGTTTCCCAACTTTCCTTCTCTTTTAGGGAATAAGGAGAAGACCTCCGGCTTTGGGGTGACTTTCCTTTCCTTGATCTTCCTATCCAGGATAAAGCTATGTAGGTTTCCTTGGATTGCATACAGAGGTAGCCTTTGCACGCAACGCTCCCTTGGGAGAGGGCACCCTTTCGCGCCGCAAGCCGGCACAAAAGTTTCCTCAGCCTAAATCCAGAGGTCCCCCCGGAGCACCGCATACAGACGTGATCTTGGCTCACCCGCCTGCCTTACATTACGCCACCTTGCCCCAAGCCCGCTTCCGCCGGGATGGTGGCCACTGGGGCAAGTACAGTCGGCCCACCCTAAAGCGGTGACGGGGGCTGCAGCCCCACGCACTCGGAAGGGGGGGAAAAGTTGCAAAAGACCAGGACGTGGCCAGGATTCTCACGTGCCCCAATTACCCCTTCTCCTCGCGGCTGGCCAGAAAACAAGGCATTCAGACGAGAGGGAGAGAGGGAGAAAAAAGAAGAGGGGGGGGGGCGGTTCCCCAATCCAGAAGACCCAGCAGGGAGGGGGCTAATGGCCACCAGCAGATCGGCTGGAGAAGAAAGGGGCATCAGCTTGCAGACCATCAAAAACAGACGGCACCAGCTCTTCTTCCCCCCACCCACCCCGTGCAAAAAGGAGACCCGGGAGCGGGGGGGGGGAGAGAGAGAGAGACCCTCACCTTTGCCTCGGCACCTCCACAGGTAGCCCTCCTCCTCCTCCTCCTCCAACAGGGGCGCCCTGGTTGGGGCTCAGCAGTCCGGGGGGCGCGATGCCCGTCTTGGGGGCCGCCGCCACCAACACCCCTGCCAGGGCGGCCGGGCTAATCGCGGCGGCGGGCACCGGGCAGAGCGGGCTGCCCAGCAGCAGCTGGGGCAGGAGGGCAGCGGCCGCGCCCAGCCCGCGGGAAGGGTCCAGCTCAGTCGTGGGGGGCAGCAGGAACCCCGGCGGGGGCGGCGGCGGCGGCGGCAGCAGCAGGCGGGGCGCGGGCTCCGCCGACGCCGCCCCCTCTGCCTCTTCCTCCGGCCGCGGGGGCGGCGGGGGCGGGGGCTGCTGCGGCGGCTCCCCCGGGGCCGGCGAGGCCGGTAGGGCGGACTGCCCCTGCGACGGCTTGCCGGACGCCGGGCACGGCGGCCGCCCGTCCAGGGAGATGTTGTTGAGGAAGAAGAGGGCGGCCTGCCTCCGCCGCGCGTCGCCGCCCCGCTTGCGAGCCCCGGCCGCCGCCGCCGCCGCCGCCACCCCAGCCGCTGCCTCCGGAGGCTCCTCTTGGGGCGGCCGGCTAGTCGGGGAGCTGCACGCAGTCGCAGCCATTCTCCCCAGCCGCCACTGCCGCCAGTCGCAGCGGCGGGGAAGCCGTCGGCCCGCCGGCCGCCCGCCCCCAGGTCGGGCGGGTGGAGCGGACTCACGCTTCCCCCTTTGGCCGCTCGGCCTGGCTAGGGGAGGTGGCTCAGGTGCGCCTGGCCACCTATTGGCCGCGTCGCGGCGGTATGTAAATACGGACGCCCTTCGCCGCCTCTCATTGGCGCGCCGTCCGTCCTATTGTCACTGGCCGCTCTATTTTCCCCTCCTCCTCTCCCCAGCCCTCCACCCGGGACCTCTTCTTTCCTTCTTCCTTTCTCTTTACGCGTCTTCGCGCGGTCCTAAAGGCCGCCGGGTTCAAAGGCCGGGAACGTTATCCGAGAATGGGGGGGGGGGGGGGGGAACCCCCAAGAAAAGTTCAGTTGCCTTTTGGAAAAACCACCTTTGGAACAACCACGACCTGGATGGCTGAGAATCTCTATGGACATTTGGCGGAAATGCAAGGAAAGCATCTTTTAGAGCAGAATTTCTCAAACGTGGGGGTTGCCGGTGTGTCTGCTTCATCATTACATAGGTGGAGATGGGCAGCTATGCAAATGGAATAAATGTATAATAATAATAATAATAATAATAATAATAATAATAATAATAATAATAATAATAATAATAATAATAATAATAATAATAATAATAATAATAATAATAATAATAATAATAATAATGTTGGAAGGGACCTTGGAGGTCATCTAGTCCAACCCCCTGCTCAGGCAGGAAACCCTATACCATTTCAGACAAATGGCCGTCCAGTCTCTTCTTTAAAACTTCCAGTGTTGGAGCATTCACCACCAACCAGGTTGTTCCATTGGTTAATTGTTCTAACTGTCAGGAAGTTTCTCCTTAGTTCCAGGTTGCTTCTCTCCTTGACCAGTTTCCATCCGTTGCTTCTTGTCCTGCCTTCAGGCGCTTTGGAGAATAGCTTGACTCCCTCTTCTTTGTGGCAGCCCCTGAGATACTGGAACACTGCTATCATGTCCCCCCTCGTCCTTCTCTTCATTAAACTAGACATACCCAGTTCCAGCAGCCATTGACTTGAAAAGGCAAAGAAGAAACAGATTATAGTCGAACAGAGCTTTGGACAACACACCCAGTGTTTTTCAAACCTGGCATTTTTGAGTTGTGTGGACTTCAATTTCCAGAATCCCCCAGCCAGCATGGCTAGCTGGGGAATTCTGGGAGTTGAGGTCCATGCATCTTGAAGTTGACAAGTTTGAAAAACATTGGTCAATATATCAACAATCCTCTTCTTGGGGGAGCTGGTTATATATAGGGTTTGCAAATCTCACTTTTTAATAGAGATATGTTATTCATACCATATACCTGACCAGGTGAGGGAAGTCCAGGGAAGTTTGACATTTGGCCCTCTTTTTTCTAGTATTGACTGACTTATAGGTTAATTCAACAGACTTATCTTTCCATTGAGTCAATTAGCAAACATATGAGCAGAAAGGGTTTGAAATCCAACTTTATTGATTGGCGTTCCACACTTTTATTTTCTAATAAAGAGCTGGTTTAAGGAGATTCTCTAGTATTCATCTCTGTTGTCTGATTTTATTTTTTTTTGAAGTTACCTTCAGTAGCCCTAGATAAAATATGTAATACTAGTCCTGGAAGGGAAGAAGGAAGAACCCGATTTTCAGAAAATCTGCTTCCAGGATGTTTCTAATAATAGGACAAATCTGAGGAAATAAATACATATTAACCTAGGAGGGATATATATTCTAAGTAGTATGTTATTTCTTATGTTTCGTTGCTCTTGCTTTTTTTCCTTCTTTTTTATTTTTTCTTCGTTTTTCTTTTTTTCTTCTCTCTTTTTACTCTTTTATCTATTCCTTAAGAAATGTAAAAATGTGAGATGTCTTACAGTATATGGGAAAAACAGAATTAAATCTGTCAATGTAAATGTAACCAATTGTTGAGAAAACCTTTATTAGTAAAAATATTTAGAATTTGGTGGGAGAAAAAAAACTAAAATAAGGATAGTGTCAGAAGTAAGTCTTCATCCTGGTTCATCCAAGCTGGGGATAAATAAGTAACATGGCGACTGCTTTGGGAAGAAGGCTACAGTTTATTAAAGAGGCAGAAAGATAGTTCTTGCAAGAAAGAGCAGAGGGAAGAAGAGACTGAGCACATGGGCAGTAGGTTTTTATACCCTCTCTAGCCCTATTTGGAATAGTTTCCTGTTCCTGTGGCATGAACCTTGAGGCTATCTCTGAGTGTTTTTTTAGGCCTTGATATCTGTGGTTTAATCCTATTATCATATCCTGCTTCCCAGGTGATGGGGCTAATGACTCCTAGAGCAGTGATGGCGAACCTTTTAGAGACTGAGTGCCCAAACTGCAACCCAAAACCCACTTATGCATCGTCGGGTGCCGGGTGGGTGTGGCCCATTGGGTGGGCGTTGCTACGGTGGTAACAGCAGACTGGATGGGACTAAAAAGTTCAATCAATCAATCCCAACTTTGCGAGATCTTTTTTTTTTCCTGCGAGAAGTTGAAATTGATTTGATTGATTGAATTTTATTTTTTTTTGCACACGGCGGTGGAGGCCTAAAGTGAAAAGGTTTTATAAAACCCAGCTGAAGGCCTAGGACTGGGGCGATGGCGCGCATGCCCACAGAGAGGGCTCTGAGTGCCGCCTCTGGCACCCGTGCCACAGGTTCGCCACCACTGTCCTAGAGTTTGGGTGGGGCATGCAGATTTTCTCTTTGTCTTCTTGATTGCTCTAGCTTCAACTTTCTGATGGTTTTACATCTGCATTTGTATGGAGCTAGCTCTTGCTTGGGGCAGAGAGATAGATTTGGAGCCAAAGTTGGTTTCTGCTTTTTAAAATACTTTTGAGGAAATATATTTTTCTGCCCTTTTAATATTTCCTTCTCTGGGGCTCTGACTTCCCACAATAGTAACAGGATTGATGATAAGGCAACTCAAATGACTGGGGGGAAAAAGAAATATTATACTAATATGATGATTATTTTTAGGAATATTGGAAAAAGTATATACTTACGGTAATTGTCATTTATTAAAACAATAAGAATGGTATTAATTGTTATTTATTAAAACAATAAGAATGTTATTAATGTTTGCAAAAAAAGATGTCCTGGGGAAAGAGGAAATCAATTAAAATTAATATATGGAACACAGATTATAGAAATCAATTGTTAAGGAGTGTTTTCCCAAATGTAACCCAGACAACACACTGTTTACCAATAATTGAGTGACTTATGCTTGTTAAAAAAAATTAATAAAATATATTTTAAAAAAGGACACATCTGATGGCAAACCTCACAGGATTTGTTTGCGCAGCTGTTCAAAGTTATGCTAACTTTTTGTTTAATGCCAATAACTGAATTTTCAAGTTAAAATTAACACAAAGCTACTAAATTTGAGAAATACTGGTTTAGAGAGAGCAAGTGAGTGAGTTTGTGGCAATTTGTTGCCTCCTGGAGACTGCCTGGACTAGTCCTGCAGTTTTCTTGGCAAGATTTTTGAAACTGTTTTGCCCTTGCCTTCTTCTTAGGGCTGAAAGAGAATGACTGGCTCAAGACAGAAGATCATTAGGCCTACATAAGTCACAATGTTTCCCGGATGGCAGCAGAGAGGTATAGAAAATTCTGTTTGCAACCATCTTGTTATGATACAATGGGGGTTCCATCTTGAATTTCTTTAGCTGATGGGTCTTTCAAAGCTTAGCAGAGCTGGTTCTGGCAAATCCTTGGATGGGTGACTTGAGACATTTCAGAATTGTAAATAAGAAATGGCAAATAACTTTGGTGTTATTGTCGAACTGACAACATAATGTCCATAAAGTCATTAGGTGTTAAGCTCTATGCTAGAGAGATTGTTACAGTTTTGTTGATATTTATTCCTGCAATNCAGAACTGGAACATTTATTTTGGTTAATTTTTAATCCTAACCCTAAATATTATGTCATACGGTATTTGGATCTGAGACCACCAAGTCTATAGGCTAAAGTGAGAACTTGAGCATCCAAATAGTTATCTAAGAAATCTTTTTTTTAAAACCAATGCAATACTTTGACATGGATAGTTTCATTATGATGGCATTCCCTTTTTAATTATTATTACTGTCATTTTATTTCATCTGATGTTTTGCACTGCTCAAGAATATTTTGAGACAATGGTGTTTTTAACTACATAAATAAGTAAAATAAAAGCTGTGGTGCCTTTGCTTTTCCTGCTAAACTGTTTCATCTTTCTTTAGATGCTTCCAGAAGTTAATTTCCAAATAAATCCTTCAACTCACCTGCTCCATTGGGAATTTCTGGCTTATAAAGCTTCTGATTTGAAAAGAAAATTGAATATTGATTTTACGATTTATGAAATGGTTTTGGGTTTTAATCTTTGTGTGCCACTCAGGGTCACCTTGGTGAAATAGGCAGGTATATCAATCGTTTAAAGGGATGAATGAATAAAAAAGGAAGTACTTTGCACACATATATTCCTCATTTTCAAAACAGTAAGCATTTAAAACAGGTTTCCTGACTGAACCCTGTTTTCCACATTATAGAAAACTTTTTAAAAAGCATAGACTAAATGACTAATTAATATATTAAAATCTCTAGTATCAAATATTTACTAGATAGCAGACCATCATTTGTTTTTTCAATGTGCCTACAGGAATTCTTTTCTTATTTTTTTCACCTTCACATTGGGAAAAAGGCCTATCTCAGTGATGGCGAACCTTTTAGAAACCGAGTGCCCAAACTGCAACCCAAAATCCACTTATGTATCGTTGGGTGCCCAGTGGGTATGGCCCATTGGGTGGGCGTGGCCCATTGGGTGGGCGTGGCTGCGGTGGTAACGGCAGACTGGGTGGGACTAAAAAGTTCAATCAATCAATTCCAACTTTGTGAGATCTTTTTTTTTCCTGCGAGAAGTTGAAATTGATTGATTGAACCTTTTTTTTTTGCACACGGCAGTGGAGGCCTAAAAC